TGGGGCTGGTAAAAGGTGGGGGGGGGGGGGGGGTTGGAGACGCTCGCTTTTTTTTTTCTCCTTTTTTTTAAAATGGCGTGCCTCCTAACATTCCTACCAGACCTAAATGCCATTTTTTTTCTTTATAAATGTCACTTTTTGCTGCACCAGCTTCTATACATTGTACAGATGAACCACTTTACAGGCAGTTTAAGGGGAATGTTGAAATCACAGCTCCTTTATAAACTGTATTTTTTATGCAAAGTGTTTTTTGCATTGATACATGTCCCCCAGGACAGTACCCAAATCCCCATACCCTTTCTATGTCCAATAACTTGCATACAAGCCTTCAAAAAGGGGACAATAGATTTTCCATGTTTGGGTCCCATATACTTTCATTGAGTTCGAATTCAAACGTTTTCCATGTTCAAAGGTTCGAATTCAATCCGGACTCGGGTGTGTTCGGCCCATCACTACCGCCAAATAGAAAGTTTGTAAGGTATTTCCTCTTCTGGGCGAATGTTTTTAAGAATATAAATAACATAAAGCAACTAGCGCTTGCTCTCAGATGAAATGGTCACTAGTATATTTTGAATAATAAGAATTATTTCTTGTGGCTTTTGGACCTTAAAGTGGAAGTTAAATGAAGACAAAAAAAAGTCCACTGGAGGAGGTGTTTGCCATAATGTACTTCATTTTGGCACAGGACCTTGCCAAGCCTGTCCACTGAGCTGTGCATGCAGGGCTCGGTGTACAGAACAAATAATGGCTCACAGACAGGTAGAGACATTTTTGGCAGAAGAGATTTACAGTCTCTTAGGTCATAAAAACCTGCTTGTTATCAGTTTATTTAATTTAACACTTCACTTCCACTTGAAAAGCAATCTATATGTATATTCCTTTGAATAATGAATCTATCTAGATCTGGGGTAGGCAACCTTGGCTCTCCAGCTGTGCTGAAATTTAAAATCCCATAAGGCTTTGCAAGCCACAGGCATGACTCCCAGAGGCAGAAGGATGATGGGACTTGTAGTTTCAGCATAGCTGGAGAGCCAAGGTTGTCTACCACTGATCTAGGATGATGCATAGGTCTTAAAAGTAAAGTGTAGTGTGTTTTCAGTGAGCACATACCTTAAGCAGTTATTACAGTATAAATTCTAAAGTATAGTTTTATTTGATGTTTACATTTATTCATTTCTCTTCTATTTATTTGTTGCTGTATTAAAAAAATTCTAAGTCGAAAACACTTTTTACAGTTATGGATAAAGTGTGGGTGTGTTGAAACCCCTATCATGTTTTTACTGTTATCTGTGCCACACTGGGGAGTGTTACCCTCTATTTTTCTCCTGGTGTCCATTGTCACCAGACCTGAAAGTGATACGAAGGTAAAGGGAAATCTTCTATTAGGCACACTTATCTCATGACCATTTCCTCTTTCTTTGGAGAGATTTCCTCTCACGTCTTGTTGAGTCACCAAAAACAAAGGTTGCATGGCTTTTAAAGCATATCTCAACCCAAAAGCAAACATTATATATTGCAGCTTACCAATTCTTAGATGTGGTGGCTGCATTACTTTTTCTTTTTTTCGGCTTTTTTTACATTATTTTCCCCTGGATATACGGGCAGTAAGTCTGTTTTTATTCACTCACTTTTGACAGACCACGCTGTCCAGCAAAAGGGACAGATAGAAGATTGAGACAAGCCATTTAACACTGACATGGGTACTTACAATAGTCAGTTTTTATTCATTTAAGTAAAACCCTTATGCCAAAAGAAAAAATAAAGAGTTGCTGTTACTGCCTAAAAGCTATTAGCAGGAGTTCAGTTTTAATTTCTTAGTCAAGTCCCTCTAAATGTGTTAGTTTTATTCACCCCCACAGTTTGACAATGCTGCTGTCCAATGGTGGTTCCAGTGCTCCTCCATAGAGTGAGGCCACGTTAAAACAGAAAGTGCATTACTGGCTCAATCACCAGGTGAAAAAAACCTAAAAGAAAAAGAATGCAGCCACCACATTTTTGTTTTTTTTGGGTTAAAATATGCTTTTTATATTCCCTACTCTGCCCAGATTGAAAATAAAGTTTTTGCCTTTATCAAGAGTTTTTATAATAACTTTTAATTTATGATATTAATTAAAATGAAGCTGATGTATTAAAAAAAGTTGGGATTTTTCATTAAGCATCTATTCTGTTTCAGGTGTCCAGAGTTCCTGTGGAGTTGTGTGAGCAATATACAACATGTAGGGAGTGCTTGAGTTCTGGGGATCCTCATTGTGGCTGGTGTGTGTTGAATAACATGTAAGTATACATACCTACTAGTCACATAAACTAATGCTGTCTAGGTTTAACTGTGAACTGCTTAGTCATAATGTTTAGGTCTACAGCCCAACATTTTTGGAAAATTAATTTCTGCAAGTCCAACTACCAAAAGTTATGGTTCTTTACCCAGTCTGGCCATATGCCATGAAATCAGTCCATTAAAGGACCACTATTGCAGAAACAAAAATTGTGTTCTGATATCTGTACATGTAATGTTAGTTTTACATACATGCCTTTTTATCCAACATGTCTTTAATAATAGATTACAATTCATTATAGATACATCTATTTCAACAATGTGGTTAAAAGATAAACAATTCTATGTATAGTTAAAGTCTCTGTATAGAGTAGTAAGACCTGAGTTAAAGACTTTTATTTGGACTTGACCCAAAATATAAAATGCTCTAGATTGACATTATGTGTTTTTATTATATCGTTGAGGTTATTAAAACCGTATCTGTGACACCCATTTTATTTGTCAGTATATACAGAATACAGTTTAGTGGGCAAAGTAATCCAGTGTTCATTGCATTTGATAAATACTGAACATAGATAAACAGATCAAATTTCAAATCTAAACAACTGTGTTGCAAATATCCAGTACTCTTAAATGTGTTCATGCAGTTTTGTGTTATCGTTGGAGAATCCTTATGAAGACCTATTCACACTTCCCGCACACTAAATGGAGAGTTGACAGTTTTGAAGAACATTGAGGGTTTTTTTTTGCTTTATCCGAAGTGTATAAAGTGTACACTCCATTCAGGTCTCCTCACAGCAGCTAGATGTGCTGCACTGGCGCTGCAGTGCGGTGACCTCCGGTGCCATCCAGTGCACTTTTAAAAATGCTGCTTGTCTGCATTATTCTGCAGAGCATATCACATCGGTATTGTGGTGTGAACACCCCTCTGATGGTGCCATTGCAGTGAAATGCATCAGAAACGCATTAAGTTGGAAAACCGTTGATTTACTGCTGCTTGCTCTCTCCATGCAGCTGAGAGAACTTTCTGATGGGATTGCCCGTATGTTCTGCCTTCAAGATCCAGCTACCTTTGTGTGAGGACTTACTGTTACAGCGTTATACATACTCCCTTTGGACACAGATTTGCTAGGCAAATAATTACGTTCAGTGCCCTATGATTACTTGCATTTTTTACACTGCATAGAGACATTCTTGGCTTAAAAGGGTTGTTACAATTGGATTTGTTTTAAGTGGCTATAGATACCGAATTAATCTGTACTATTTGGAGACAATATATACTGTATCTGGTGGATATTTGTGCAATGCCTCCTGTCATGGATTGGAGATCATTGAAACCTGCTAAGAATTCTGCTATCATATGGATTATATAACCTGAAGGGATCTTTCTAGAGGCTACCAAGGAACACAGATACAGGATCTTTTTTTGGTTGTACAGCTATTAAGCAGCAGATGTCTGAAGTGTTAGAAGGACTTTGTTCTAATCCTTAGAACAGTGGCATGAATAGTAAACCTGATGAGCACTTCCAGGCACAAACTATTGCAAACTATTGATTTCTATCTGTAATAGTCTTCTATTTCATAAGGATCATAATATCCCAGAGATTTGCGCTACCAGGGTGGACATGGATTCTATCAACAAGTCTTCTCAGAGATTATGCTAAAGTCGGTCAGTTGACCGGTATTCATATGGACATTTTGGATCAATAACCCTATAAAAGGTTGATGTGGCAAAGTGATGTGGGTGTGTGTGTATACTTATATATTGGACAATTCAATTTATATTATTTTGTTAGTATAAGAGCAAGTTGCTGATATTTTATTGAAAGTATTAGGATCTATCATTTTATTATGTAAATGGCCCCTTAATGAATCTTGATTATAAAGAACCATGGGGCACATTATTCTGTATACATTGGACAGATCTGCTTGCCCATATTAAAAGTTGAACTTCAGCTAAGCACACAATTACAATAAATATATTAATTGATTTACTGTTCTACCTGCTCTGAGGCCACCTTCACACTAACCCTTGCGATCTTATCTCTCCTTAGTTAACTACCTCCCGGCCAGCCGCTGTGTATACACGGCCTGCCGGGAGCTTCTTGGATGTAACTGGGCGTGTATACACGCGCGCGAGAATGAACATACTCTACTTAGTTAAACATGTTTACATACTCTACTCTCTGGTGCTGGGCTCCTCTGCACAAAAGGCCAACTTTCCTTTGTCAAAATATACAGGGCCAAAGTGCCAGTGTTGTAATCTTCTACTTTGTGGTCCAGGACACACCTCAACCTGTGACTAAATAATGAAGGAAAAGCATTACCCCTGATAATGTCATCTCTGCACTGTGCTCTCCTGTACAGCAAGTACATTCCCTGCATTAGACGAACAACTCAGTACAAAGAAAAATAATCTTAACTGACTCAGAGTACAACATAAAAAATGTGCCCCTCACGAGGAAATGTGAAAATTGTCATTTTCAAAAGATACAGAAATGTACTTGTTTATTCCTAATCTTGAAGTTTCATTAGTTGTTTTAATACTGCACAGTTTTTTAAAATATTCATGCTACTGTATCTTTTAACTGTAAAATCTATTAGGTTGGGTATCGAGCCTCTTAGAGATCAGACAGTTTTTTTCTATTAACTATAAATAAGAAAGAAAGGTGATAAAACCCTGAAAAAAATGCTTTCATAGAGCTAGAGTAACAACCTTCACTTAGCATTTATACACCCAATAAAAACCACAATATTACAGAGACTTTTAGGAGAACATTAGGTGAACAGCATGTGAACTAAACTATGTTTCTACACAAAAATAAACCTATTGTAGCCATTTCTTTTGCCTAAAGTGCCCTTTCACATAATGATATTATATTCTTTCACCAGCTTTGCTTAAAATGAACCATTTGCACAGCCTAAATACATGTATAGATCTGTACATCAAAATGGCTTTTTCTGCCATGTAGGGTCGCTGGTCACTGGATCCTCCGTTCAAGGACTATATTAATGCAATAAAATAATAAATACATTGTATTTAGGCATATTCAGTTTGTAGGAAAAAAAACATTATAAATACACCATTTTTTTTTATTATTGTAGTGGTAGCAATAATTTTTCATAAATGGTTGTCATTCGGAAAAATTAATATAAAACATGCAATATTATATATAAATGAGTAATTAACTTTTACCTACAAATGGGGAATCTTGTTCAGAGAACCATAACATCGGATAACTTTTATTTAGTACTTCCTGTTTCAGCAAATTGACAACATGATCATATGACTTCTAAAATGAATTCAGACACGCCCACATTTTGGGGAAATACTCTGACAGCACTCAGATAATAACAGTGCTAAGGATCTAATACAGTGCAAAGCTGGCACCAAAGCTTTAAAGGAGGTATTTCGGAATCACTCATTTAGGGACATAGTATAGAAGTAATTCTGAGACAACTGAATAAAACTATTGCTCACAGATTAGTCACTAGCATACAAAGTTGTTAGCCAGCCAGATATTACACCTCCCTCTGTTTTTTACTAGTCTCCTAGAAGAATTGACATCATCTTTCCTCTGAAAGAAGCAAACCCTTTTCACTAGATGTTGTACTTATTTTTATCAAGACGGTTTTCTATAAGTAAGTTTCTTTGATACTGCACAGCTAAGAGTGCTCACTTTTGCAGTTCTCTGGATTATTTGGCACTTGGCATAGCCTTGAAGGATGTACCCAGACCCTGCTGTGAGGAAGTGATGGGGTCAGCCTGTAATGTGACCTGCAGACACTGGGATTTTCTTGGTCGCTTTCAAGACATTAAGTGTACTGAGTTAGTCCCAGAGCACTTTACAGTCTAGGACTGTGATACAACCGTCTGGTGGAATCCTGTCACTGAAGACTCCTTAGTGAGTATGCCCACCAGAGGGTTGAAGGATGTTGGGTATGTCCTTGCACTTTTTAATGTGTTATGCGGGCCCCTTTTTTTTTTATTTTGTAGCATGCATCCTCGATTGCATTGCACCATTCTGCCTTCTGCATGCATCGCCAAAATTGTACAGCGTGCAAACTCTTAATACTTCTCCTGCTCGTGAAGTGAACACACCACCCGATGCTTGCAAGGTATTGACCTTGTCCTCCTTGCTGCTGCCTACTACAACCTGTTTTGTATAGTGACTGGCCTAATCCTGGTAAACTGTTTCCACCAAGTGTTTTGCTCAGCAATATCCTATTGAGGAGTTCCTTAAGAAGTGCACCACTTCGACAGCCCCATTCTCCACTGTAAGGTCTAAGCTCAATTGGATTATGGCTCATGAGCAGCTACACGGTATCCTGCAGGACAGACGCGCAGTTTGGGAACCCTGGCTGAGCTATACAGGTATCTCAAGTCCTCCTTAAACACCAACCCACCTGCTTGGGATAACTAATTTTTATGGCATCCAGGGATCTAGAGCCTATACTCTTTTCCTTCTACTCTTCACTTCTTATTCCCTTCCTCCTCCTCTTCTTTGTGTTTTTTTTTTCTTGTTCTCCAATGACATGTATGACCTCGTTAGCAAAAACAGATATGACATAAGTCAAAATGTTGATCTATTACTGTGAGCTTTATTGAAGGATGATGCAATTTATTTTCTATTTCCCAAGAACACAGTTGACTGTTAGTTCAGTATTATGGTGTACTGAGCCAACGGCCTTAAGGTTCTTGCACAGTGAAGATGATGGGGGTGGTACTGTCTAGATTCAGTTGTTTACATGCCTTAATTTTTGTATTGTACATGTTGATGCAACAAACTATTTCTATTTAGAAAATGGTACGAAACAAAAAACTTTGAAAGCAAAGAAGTGCACCACTCCCATGGAGCTGACCATCTCTTGCCTTTCAGTGGAAGTAAATTCACAAAAATGTTTGGAGGCAGGGATTTATGTCAGAAGCCGTTCCTTCTGCCCCATAAAAAAAAAAAAAAAAATCATCTCATCCCCTTGCGTTTCTTTCTATTTTCTACAT